GTATTCTACCAAGACTAAACCAGAAGGAAGCTGAAACCCTGAATAGACCAATAACAAGGGCTGAAGTAGAGACAGCAATCAATAGCCTACCAACCAAAAAAAGTCCAGGTCGAGACGGGTTCACAGCCAAATTCTACCAGACGTACAAAGAGGAGCTGGTTCTATTTCTTCCGAAACTGTATCAAATAATACAAAAGGAGGGAATCCTCCCTAACTCATTTTATGAGACCAACATCATCCTGATACCAAAACCAGGCAGTGACTCAACTAAAAATGAAAACTTCAGGCCAATATCCATGATGAACATCGACATAAAAATCTTCAATAAAATACTGGCAAACAGATTGCAACAGCACATAAAGAAGCTTATCCATCATGACCAAGTAGGCTTCATCCCAGGGATGCAAGGCTGGTTCAACATACGCAAATCCATAAATGTAATCCATCATATAAATGGAACCAAAGAAAAAAACCACATGATTATCTGAATAGATGCAGAGAAGGCCTTCGATAAAATTCAACAGCCCTTCATGCTAAAAACTCTCAATAAACCAGGTATTGATGGAACATATCATAAAATGATAAAAGCTAGATATGACAAACCTACAGCTAATATCATGCTTAATGGGCAAAAGATGGAAGAATTCCCTTTGAAATCAAGCACTAGACAATGATGCCCTCTCTCACCACTCCTATTTAACATAGTATTGGAAGTTCTAGCCAGAGCAATCAGGCAAGAAAAAGAAATAAAGGGTATTCAATTAGGAAAGGAGGAAGTCAAACTGTCTCTATTTGCAGATGGCATGATTGTATATCTAGAAGACCCCATCATCTCAGCCTAAAATCTTCTCAAACTGATAAGCAACTTCAGCAAAGTCTCAGGATACAAAATCAATGGGTAGAAATCACAAGCATTCCTATATACTAATAACAGACTTAAAGAGAGCCAAACCAAGAGTGAACTCCCATTCACAATTACTACAAAGACAATAAAATACCTAGGAATATGACTAACAAAGGATGTAAGAGAGGACACAAACAGATGGATAAACATTCCATGCTAATGATTAGGAAGAAGGAATATCATGAAAACGGCCATACTGCCCAAAGTAGTGTATGGATTCAAGGCTATCTCCATCAAGCTACCAATGACCTTCTTCACAGAACTGGAAAAAAACCACTTTAAACTTCATATGGAATCACAAAAGACCCACATTGCCAAGACAATCCTAAGCAAAAAGAACAAAGCCAGAGGCATCACACTGCTGGACTTCAAACTATACTACAAGGCTACAGTAATCAAAACAGCATGGTACTGGTACCAAAACAGAGACATAGACCAATGGAACAGAACAGAGACCGCAGAATAAACACCACAATCTACAACCAACTGATCTTTGACAAACCTGGCAAAAACAAACAATGGGGAAAGGATTCCCTGTTTAATAAATGGTGTTGGAAAAACTGGCTAGCCATGTGCAGAAAGCAGAAACTGGACCCCTACCTGTCACCTTACACTAAAATTAACTCCAATAGATCAAAGATTTAAACATAAAACCTAACACCATAAAAACACTAGAAGAAAATGTAGGCAAAACCATCCAGGACATAGGCATAGGCAAAGACTTCATGACTAAAACACCAAAAGCAATGGCAATAAAAGCTAGGATAGACAAATGGGATCTAATTAAACTCCAGAACTTCTGTACAGCAAATGAAACCATCATTAGAAGTGAATCAGCAACCAAAAGAATGGGAAAAAAATTTTGCAATCTACCAATCTGACAAAGGGCTAATATCCAGTATCTACAAAGAAACTAAAACAGATATACAGGAAAAAAACAACCCCATTCAAAAGTGGGCAAAGGATATGAACAGACACTTTCCAAAAGAGAACATATATGAGGCCAACAAGCATATGAAAAAATGCTCATTATCACTGGTCATTAGAGAAATGCACATCAAAACCACACTGAGATATCATCTCACACCAGTTAGAACGGCGATCATTAAAAAATCTGGAGACAACGGATGCTGGAGAGGATGTGGAGAAATGGTGGGAGTGTAAATTAGTTCAACCATTGTGGAAGACAGTGTGGCCATTTCTCAAGGATCTAGAAATAGAAATTCCATTTGACCCAGTAATCCCACTACTGGGTATATACCCAAAGAACTATAAATCGTTCTACTATAAAGACACATGCACACATATGTTCATTGCAGCCCTGTGTACAATAGCAAAGACCTGGAACCAACCCAAATGTCCATCAATGATAGACTGGACAAAGAAAATATGGTATATATAAACCATGGAATACTATGCAGCCACAAAAAAATGGTAAGTTTGTGTCCTTTGTAGGGACTTGGATGAATCTGGAAACCATCATTCTCAGCAAACTGACACAAGAACAGAAAGCCAAACACTGTATGTTCTCACTCATAGGTCGGTGTTGAACAACAAGAACATCTGGACTCAGGGAGAGGAGCATCACACATTGGGGACAGCTGGGGGGGCAGAGAGATAGCAAAGGGTGGGGAGAGTGGGGAGAGATAACATGGGGAGAAATGCCAGATAATGGTATGCACCTAAAGTAAAATAAATTTTAAAATAATATAAATAAATAAAAGAAATATGACTCAGACTTTTCTAGAACTGAGGAAAGTCACAAACCACTAGACTTGAATAGTCTAAATATTCCAAGCAAGACTGACCAAGAGGCATCTACACCAAAGACATCAGAGAAACTGCAGAATGCTGAAGACAGACAAGTTCTTAAAAGCAGTCAAAAAGAAAGGATAAATTAACTAAAAATATATTGATTATTTGCTGACTTCATGATAGCAATAATGAAAGGCACATAATAGTGGAATAATAATTTTAAGGTGTTTAGAGAAAATAACTGTTTCTATGGCTAGACAAACTATTTGTTCAAGATTGAGGACAAAATAAAGATATTTTGGATACCCCCAAACTGAAAAATCTTACAATCACTAGGCCTTCTCTAAAAAAATAAAATACTTTTAAAGGATGCACATCAGGAAGTCATAAAATGATCTGAAAGGTAAGAAGGAATGTTGAGCAAAGAAAATGATAAAAATGAATAAGTCTTATTAATAATAGTATAAAATGAGACCAATATCTAATACACGAGATTAATGTAAAACAAGATAGAAGTACTGGACGAGAATTGCATATGTCAGCAGTGTACAAAATTGATGACACCAAAATGACTATGTTGGGCTTATTCCAAGAATGTATGTTTGGTTTAACACTGGAAAATCTATAATTGAAATTCATTGCATTAAAAAATTAAGCAGAATGCTGTATCATCACCTTATAGATAGAACATATGCTTCTATTGTGTTGAATACTATATAGTAATGAAAATGGACAGATTATAGCTACATATATATAATGGAGAGTAAAAACATTTTGAAAAGGAGATCTACAGTAAGTTTCAATCATGTTAGTTCCACAAATATGCAAAAGTAAACAACATATTGTTCTTCTGAATATACACATATATTCCTCTCTCTCTCTCTCTCTCTCTCTCTCTCTATATATATATATATATATATATAGAGAGAGAGAGAGAGAGAGAGAGAGAGAGAGAGAAATTCTAAAGGAAAGCAAGAAAAGAGTAAATAAATAATTGATTATAATAGTAACTAACCTCTCAGAGGGGTAAGAAATCTTCAAAAGTATTGAAAAATGTTTTCTATTTCAAACTTGGTAGTGGATTCACAACTTTTCATTCTATTATACTTTAAACACTATAAATTTATTTTGTTTCATGTACATAAATTATTAGAAATTTTAATTTCAATTAAACTACAAATTCTTCAAAATTTGCTTCTCAAATAAGTATGTAGGTAAGAGTTCTACACAAAATATAAAATAACAAAATGCAAATCTTGTGTTTTGAATCATAAATTAGAAAAAGGGCTGAGAAACATGATTAAATTAGAAAAAGGATTGGGGAACAAGAAGGAACAGAAAAAAATGAGGCAAAAAGGCAACTACATAAAACATTCCCTAAAACAAAGCCAGACTAAAAGACATCACCTAAAAAAAACTCATTCTTTACATTAAAATATGGCAAAAAAATAGCAATAACTGAAATGAGGGAGATTAAAGTATCAGAATGGTTCTGGAACTAGTTAGATGGTTTACAGTCTTGTCCCCACCTTCTACTCTTTGTCCTTGTAAGAGCTAGAAAAAAAAATACCTTCACATAAGGCATAAGAAGCACTGCAATAATCATTTACTGCTTTTCTAGTCTGTTATGGTTAAATACTGGTTTGCTGGATATGACAAGATAAATAACAACGGTCTCTGCTGTGAGGGAGCTTTTCTAATAAGAGAGAATACGTTCAAACTCCAGCAGGTTGAGATGAAGTATAACTTACTGAATATAAAGATGATTGGAATTGTAATATTCTGTGTGGCAGAGACATTAACTACCCACTGAGTCTACCCGTGTTCCCCACAGTTCCTAGCCCCCTTACAGTTTGGTGGGATCATGTGACAAGTTATGGTAAGAGCCATGAGTGGAAGAGATGCATGTCATCTGATGCTGAAGCATTAAAGAGCCAGTGTGTGATCCTCCAGCTTTTCTCTTCACCTGACCTAGAGATCTGGAAACTATGTGTCCAAGGATCAAAACAGAGTGATTACTGAGTCACTGCAGTAAGAACAGATGCCATGGAGAGTTGCCTAACCTGCAGAGCACTTTCTGTAAGAAAAAATAAAGTCTTGTGGAAAGTCACTGAGATTTCAGAATTCGTTACTGTCACATAACCCAGCATTATGCATGCATACCACTAAAGGGAAAAAAGATCCTTCTGAAGATTTATAAAAACACATATGCCTACATATAGAGAATGAATTGGATACTTACACTAAGAAAGAAAAACTATATGGTCTCTGAAAATTCTCCCTGATATTCACCTCAAAAAATATAATAATAAAAATATACGTAAAAACATATTAGCCTTACTTCACAACTTTGCCACTGGTTTGGGATACTTGGTCGAAACTTCTGGTCACAGACAACCTTTCTCATTTCCTCTATAGAGGGATCTGAAGGCACCATGTCATAATAAGGCAATTGGTACTCCTCAACAATTCCTGTAAGAAATTTGCATAATATATTTCCACATGCAAATAATAAAGATGTCTATTTCAAATATTACCAATTAAGTTTTCTAGGCACAAGTGACACCCCAGGGAACTGGAAAGTCAAGTTTATTAAAATAATGCATCACTATAAAATCAAGGATATAAGTTTAAAGCACTCAGTTGAATAGTTATATAAAGTTATGAAATTTTATAAAATTTTTCATAACTATAAATTTTATGAGTATATAAATTATTATAAAACAATTTTCTAATATAACATTTCTATATATAAAATAGTTTTTCTATTGAAATTATGTAAATTTTTATTCAATTAAAATGCCATTATACAATTTAAAAGCAATGCCTACTTTCTTCTGATTATGAAATTTGTAGTACAGCGTCATTGTTTTGTGAATGAAGTACCTATATTTTCCCATCAGATAACTTTTTTAAAACAAAACAGCTTTCTCTCTTTGAAAACTTTTAGGCAATCTTTTTAACGTTGGATTTCTTAGATTTAGACTTTAGAACGACTGAACCTGAGAATGTTCTGGAGAACTCAAAGGTAGTTGAAGATGGATAGTTCAATATGAAGATTAATATTTAAAGAGTCTCAAAGACAATGATAAAGATGACCTTAATTATCAGAATACTGGTTAAATTCCAAGAAATTCCTTATAAAATCTTTTTAATTAACTGCAGTGCTTTTAATTTAAAATATGTAAGACTTGCCATAATACTAGAAAACTAACTCATGTCTGCTAAATTACTATTTTTACAATTGAAGAAAAGGACAAAAATCTAAAAGCAAATCTAGACTAATATCGACATGAAATTTTTACAAAAAATAATTAACATGTTTGACATCTTGCTGTTTGCCATGCATTGCCCTAAGGCCTTTACAGGTTTTAACTAATCAGTCCTCAAAACTACTGACTAAAGAAGGTACAATATTATTTCTATTTTATAGATGAGGAAACTGAGGCACGGAATGTTATAAATTTGTTCAGAGACATAGAGCTAATAAGTGGCAAATCTGGAATGCAAACCCTAGTATCCATGTTCAGCACCACTATAATTCTACTGCATTTAAAAAGTTTTAGGTCCCTGAATGTTTTACAACATCATCTATGAATAAAAAAGAAAAAGTTGTATGTTTGCTCATTCAGACATAATTTTAACCTTAGAAGCTTTTCATAAAATCTGCAAGGTTTTTAAAAAATCAGATTAATGTAATGCAAATAACATCAATACAAAGTGCAAAAAAATGAAAATAGCTTAATAATGACAGCTCTTTAATTGAAAGTTTACTGTGAACAAGCTCTGTACTAAAAGCTTCACAGGAATTAATTCATTAAATCCTTAAAGCCCACGAGGTCAGTTTTTGTATTACCTTCATTTTACAGATGAGGAAAGTCAACTAAGTAACTTGCCTGAAGTTGGACATTCAAGCAACTGCTAAACCGATGCTCAATCCTAAGTCTGTCTCACTTGAAAATAGAAACTAAACCATTTTCTACCAGCATTTAACTTTTTCTTCATTGAAGCAACAGTTTCATCAGACATATTTACAGGGCTCCCCCCTTCCTAATTATTCCCATTAAGTTCTTTTTCCTTTTTTTTTTTTTTTTTTTTTTTTTTTTGGACATGGAGTTTCGCTCTTGTTGGCTAGGCTGGAGTGCAGTGGTGTGGTCTTGGGTCACTGCATCCTCCGCCTCCCAAGTTCAAGCAATTCTCCTGCACAGTCTCAGCTGGGATTACAGGCATGTGCCACTACACCCAGCTAATTTTGTATTTTTAGTAGAGACAGGGTTTCTCCATGTTGGTCAGGCTGGTCTCAAACTTCCGACCTCAAGTGATCCACCACTTTGACTTCCCAAAGTGCTGGGATTACAGGCATGAGCCACCATGCCAGGCCACACAATTCAGTTCTAAACTGCTGGGAGCAGTAAAGGCAGGAAGTTTGTCTTTGCCCACTTCTTTCCACACCTTTATTCAACCCCACAACATTTCTCTTATCACAGGGAAGAAAAGAAAAGCTTAATAAACTGAACCCTTCAAGTCCTGTGGCCTCAGCAAATTATCTGACTTCTTTGGTATATAATTAGGAATACCAGCTAACTGTTTACAAACTCAAATAAAATAATTTTCAAGTGCTTCATAAAGTGTCATATGGAAACAATTATCAGGAGAACTGTCACCCCACTAGGCAGTAATCACAATATAAAATCTCCATTATATGCAAGATGTCCCACATTTGCCTCTGGAAAGATATCACTAAAAGGTATTCTCTTAAATACCTGAAAAAAAGATTCAATATAGTGCTTGGGGAAACAAGATAAAATATTACATATTGTATTCAGATTATCAAGGAAAGGCAAACACAAAGGATATTTCCAAAATTTTACCTCTGACTGAACACCTTCGGGCTATTTCCCAGTAAACCAGACCAACAGAATAGATGTCAGCTCGTTTGAAGGACTCAAAGATATGCACATTCATTGTATCATCAAGCATTTCAGGAGCCATATACCTTCAAAAACATGCACATTTCAGATTCTGTGTATGACTTTATAGCAGTTCAGTAAAACAATCTTAAGAAATTAAGATAGTTCATGCCATTTTAAAAGATAGATTTGAGGCACTATAATAGAAAAAATTAAAGACGTTGATTCAACCATCGATTTTAAAAATCTTTTTTTTTTTTTAATTTGAGATGGAGTCTCACTCTGTTGCCAGGCTGGAGTGCAGTGGCAGGATCTTAGCTCACTGTAACCTCCGCCTCCCAGGTTCAATCGATTCTCCTGCCTCAGCCTCTCGAGTAGCTGGGACTATAAGCACACACCAACATGCCCAGCTAATTTTTGTATTTTAGTAGAGATGGGGTTTCACCAATGTTGGCCAAGATGGTCGCGATCTCCTGACCTCGTGATCTGCCCACCTTAGCCTCCCAAAGTGCTGGGTTTACAGGCGTGAGCCACTGAGCTCGGCCTAAAAAAAACATTTTAAATAGAACTAGAGGTCATTCCACTCAGTGTTAAAGCAGGTGTGCCAGGAGTCTACTGCTTGGAAACTGTGAGTTGGAGGGACACTCAATGAGCAAAGCACTCAACAGGAGAGATGGCACTCAGTTGCCACCAGTAGTTTGTTGCCAGGGAAAGCTCCCTGAGGGCAGAATATGTTTTATTCATCTGGGTGGGCCCAAACCTCCAACTGTGCTCAGCAGCACTCCACCCATACTCTCTCTCACTGAACAATTTTATTTTACATGGACTCAAAAAAATTATAGCCATGTTGGAACAAGAGTCAGTGTGAGAAATCTATAGTCTGTGGACCTGAGCCTTGCTGTAGTAGGGAGATTTTGAAGATTTCCCAGAACAGTGAAGTAAGAATGCAATACCCTCCCAAGTTCTTGCAAGAGTGTTAAATCCTTTGAAGGAAGCTAGCATCCAAGGTTTCCCTGAAGGTTCCTGATATAGGGATGGTCAGATGGGCGAGGTAAGGCTTTTCTTGTACAGGGAAAAGGAGAGAAGTCCCTTAGGGCTGCCCAGTGTGAATAAACTGCCTGGAAGTGTTCCTGGGGCCTCAAAGTCTCCAGCAGATCATGAGAGGCACTCACAGGAACTGTCCTGGAATCTCAAATATGGCTTGAAGGCCAACTATAGCAGCTTAGAATTTCTCTACTCTCAAGGGCCTCTAACAACTCCAAGAAAATATTTTGGTTGCTTCTGATTTCAAGATCAAGAACCTGGAATTTTGCCAAAGTAATGTAGAGCCTGAAAATCAAGTAAAAAGAATTGAAGTAGGCTGTCCATATGGCCACAGGCTGGCTACAACAAGAGAAACACTAGAAATCCCAATCTTAATAGGCCTGACCTGATACATGTGTGGTATATGTTGTTAGCTTCATGCTCATTCTTAATCTTCAGAGATTCTATTCCTTGAAAGTGGGAATTGTATCCAAACTCATATTATCTTAATTCATATCAATTTGGCAGACTTAATGATAAGTAAAAGTATGGTAATACATAAATTGTTACATAATATGTTTAAAGAGTAAGGGAATATAGCAATACATAAGTGAATTCATTATTAGATATATATTCCGTGTATCTATTTCAACATATTGATTCTGCATCTATCTATTAGACAGACTAGATCACTAATAGATTCCTCTCTATTTCAACATACTGATTCTATGTCTGTTGTATAGAACCTAAATATGTAGAACTAGCCCTAAGTTTCAGTTCATGTATGGGATATAAAGGCTTTGGAGGAGCTGCATACTGCTGACTTTTCTTCTTATCTGTAGGAAAATGCATTCTCAGAAAATGGCATTCTAAAAATAATACATCACTATCTCTTCCACCATTTCTCTCCACTGGACTCTGTACTTAAATGGCTGTAATCTGTATGGCCCAAAATGCCAACTCTCCTTGCTTTGGAACCCTTGTGCCCACTAACTTCTCAATGACCCAGAGAAAACTTCTGGATTTCTTGGGCCCAGTGGTTTTCCATTTGGACCTGAGCCGCCTCCACACACATGAGGACATTCATGCTTCTTGGGCACTTTCACATCTTACTATGCTACCCAAGTCAGTCAGCTTACCTCTTGGTTCCCACTTTAGGATTCTGAGGTATGTCAATAGTGTTCAGTATTGAATCATGCTTCACAGCCAACCCTAAGTCCGCTATGGCACAAGTTTCACATTTTTTCACTAAGATATTCTTGGATTTTATGTCTCGATGAGCAATAGCAGGTTTACCTATGAAGCATAAGAAAAACATGTATTTTTTTCTTTACTGAAGACTGAGTCTGTCAAAGAGAAATCATCATGAAGACTTAGCTCAAAGTGTGCTAATTCAAAAAGAGTCTTCTTCCAAACTCTTGTCACTATCTAAATTATCTTGTTTATTTATGTACATGCTGAATAATCTGTCTCTCCCAACTAAACTGTAAACTGAATGAGGGCAGTAACTATTTTGTTCATCACCATGCCTCTATTGGTTAGAGCACTGGAAGACTAATTAGATCACTAATAAATATTTTTAATAGATGAGGAAATAATTAGTACTGCTATGTCCTCAGAAGAACATGGCAAATATTGTTTTACAAAATAAGTCTGAAAACTTGTACTACTGTACACCAGCAGTTCTCAATTGTGGCCAAAAGACCCCCGTGGTCCTTGCAACTCTTTTCTAACTATGTGTCTGTGTGACATCACCTTTTCTTCACATATTTCAACCAAAACAATATATGAAAACAGATGGAATGAAGAACAGGTATGAAAACCCAGACATTAAAACAGACATTAAAGGGATTTGCAACATTGTAAAACAAAGCCACTATTTTCATTAGATCAGTTTGTGTATTGGAAAAAAAAATGTTGTTATATTTAAAATATGTCATTTATGTTAACATTTAATTGGCTATTTTAAGAAAATTAAGTACTTTTAAACTCAATTTTAATTTCTAATATTGTAAACAGTAATAGATATAAGCTACATACACAAAAACCTTTGTAGTCCTCAATTTTAGGAGTGTAAAGGGATCATGAGTTCAAATGTGAGAACCACTGCCCTGTCTAGATTAATTGACTGTAGAGCCAACTTTCTTAACTCAATAAACAGAAAAGGTAGTAGGTACTATTTGGTCTTTAAGTACATGATAAACAATTTTTTTTTCAAAATCACATTACACTTTCCAATTACTTTTTTAATTATCAAAGGGAAACATTTAAATTAGTTGTGTTCTCCAGATATAGGACATCTGCCACTAAAGCAAGATCTCCCAGGTACATATGCTAAATGGCAAAGATAGAACCACTAGGAATAAATTTTTTAAAATACTGTTATGGATAAGATACAAAATAGCATACTGATGACAGTTGGCTATATTATGACAACACCTTTAGCTTTTAAATTACCCTTAGCGTTTCTTCACTTTTTTTGTTTTTTCAATATAGGGTCTCACTCTGTCACCTAAACTAGAGTGCAGTGGTGTAGTCATAACTCACTGCAGCCTGGACCTTCCAGGCTCAAGTTATCCTCCCATCTCAGCCTCCCAAGTATATGGGCACTAAAGGCACATGCCACCACAATCAGTTTTTTTTTTTTTTTTTTTTTTAGAGATGGAGATCTCACTGTGTTGCCCAGGCTGTTCTCAAATTCCTGGCCTCAAGTGATCCTCCCATCTAAGGTTACCAAAATGCTAGGATGACAGGTATATGCCACTGTGCCCAGGCTCTTTACATTTGATAATTATTTCTAATAAATTATAACTAAGTACTTCTATCCTCATATTCAAAGTGGAAAGAAATGAAAAGGAAATACATACCTTGTGTACCAACAATCTCCATATGAAGGTGTGCCAGACCACTAGCAATTGAGAGTGCCAGCTTGATCATTCCAGCCACAGTCACTATGTTTCTATTCAAATAGTCATATAAAGAACCCTGTTCATGATATTCAGATACCAGCCAAAGTTGAGTCCAAGTTCCATTATCTAACAAGAAAATATAATTTTTGAGAAGCCAAAAACTTTTCACAAATATTAGTATTTAAATTAATCTGTGTTGTTAACACAGAAAAGTTAATTGCTTCAGTGGTAATGCTTACAGTCCAAGTTAGTAAAAAATTCTCAATGAATATCTGAAGATACTGATATGTTGGAACCTGTTATATGTGCCCACCATATAAAAAGAAAGTTGTGAGGTTGTGACTGATTCTAACAACTGAACAACTCCTTTCTTATTTCCTCTATATCAATACCCGATGGCAATAGTAACCACATTATAGGAGAAACTACTGAGAGGTGAATTTAGGCTCAGTGTTGTGTTATAAATTACTCTGAGCTTTTAAGAAAAATTGTACCAATAAACATAAGAAATACAAATTTATGCAAAGTATTATTTCTATATTATTTCTATCACAAAGGCTCTAACATTCTAAAAATGTTGACGTTATTCACCTTTCAAAATATAAAGTTGGTTATTTTCCCCAAAAGCTTATAGTAAGAGCCAAACACAATCACTAGACATTTTCAAATAATCCACCTCATAATTTAGCCAAAACCTAATCCAGTTTATAAAAGACTTTTAGAAATTACCCTAAAACTTTTCTACATGTTAGTAGAGTAAGCTTTAGCTCTGGAAATAATATGTCTACTGCAACCCTGGGCAGTCCTGACCAGTACTGACAATCAGTGAAAAGATCTATAATGAACATTTGCTAAGGACCTATCTGGCCAGATGCTTTATGTACAAGAGCTCTTTATTTAATTTCCAAATCTGGGTAGTGATAAAATTTCCTAGGAATTTAAAAGTCAACATGGTAAAGCTCATTAACATACAACATATAAAAATAACCCGTTCTCACACCTCTCTCCCTGATTGACACCAGTTGCTATCTTGTCCTCTCATATCAATGCTTTTGTCTGACAGTTGACTAAAGAGTGAAACTGTAAATGTTGCAAAAGGTAAAGGAATTAAAAAATGAAAGTGTTGTTAGAGATCATTTGGAATCATGCAAAAAGCCACTGACAAGTTAGAAGACGATAGAGGTAGACCAGTTGAACTCAAGAAGAGAAAACCCAGGATAATCTCTCTTGTGAATATTATTATTATTTTTTTTATTTTTTGAGACGGTATGTTACTCTGTCACTTAAGCTGGAGTACAGTGGTGTAATCTCGGTTTACCACAACCTCTGCTTCCCAGGTCCAAGCAATTCTCTTGTCTCAGCTTCCTGAGTAGCTGGGATTACAGGCACCCACCACCACACCCAGCTAATTTTTTGGGGGGAGGGTGGTATTTTTAGTAGAAACAGGGTTTCACCAGGTTGGCCAGGCTGTCTTGAACTCCTGACCTTAGGTGATCCACCCACCTTGGACTCCCAAAGTGCTGGGATTACAGGTGTGAGCCACCATGCCTGGCCAATACATACTCTATTATAATCCAATAAACATGTTAAATTAGCCCATGAAGATGATCCATGTACAGTGATAACTGTTTTGACAGCATTGCTGATCAATCCAACCAGTAGGCTGTTCAGCTCAAGATTAGGAGAGAAAAGAAAACATTCTTAATGGCTAAATGAGAACTGTCTCATACTCAATGATCTGGATATAGTTTCAAAGTATATGTAGTTACAAATTTGGAAAAAACTTCTTTTGTTAGCCCTCTTGCCTTTACCACTTTTCTCCTTAGCAAAATCAGAAATGACAAATCATCAACAAACATAATTATGGCCAAAATGTATGCTAAATGCTAAGCCTCTCTTTTTCCATGCAATTAAAATGAATACTTTTATAATTAAGTTTATATTAGATAAAATTAACTATAAGTTCTTAATTTTCACAGGCTTTGGTGGAACCCTGACATCCATAGATAATTTGTATTAACCCTTTTTTTGATTGGGGTTACAATCTCGACTCCACCAAAGTGCTTCATGAGTATTACTAACTGGAGTTAAAGTTTAAAAGTTGACTGAATCAAGTTTTCCTCACTTTTGTTACCCATTAGGGGCACTTATGAACAGTTAAATGAATTTTGTAAAAAGAAGAGAAAAAGCATAATCTACAAATTCTATATCCAATCTGTGATTACATAAGCACAGATACAATATTTTATGAGTACTTATTTTAAATATCAGAAAGCTGATGCTCTGACTTGCTCCATGAAACTCAAAAAATAACAGACACTGCTTGGCACTGTTAATGTTGGCCTCAAGATACAAATCGTGCTCAAAGTAACATTAATAAAAAATTTCACTAAAATTGTCTTGCTTACCACCATTCTGATACAAGCAAAAGAGATAATCAGAAAATTTAGATGCAGCCTGTTATAGGAATGAAAAATATAGCACTAGCAAAGTTGCGCATTCAGCTAGTATTCATTGGTATGTCTGTATTGGTTACTAAAATATTGAAATATTTCCATCCTTCTTGTTAAATAGCTGTTATTCAAAACTCCCAGGCCGGGAGCGGTGGCTCAAGCTTGAAATCCCAGCACTTTGGGATGGTGAGGTGGGGAGATCACTTGAACTCAGGAGTTTAAGACCAGCCTGGCCAACATAGTGAAATCCCATCTGTACTAAAATTACAAAAATTAGCCATGCATAGGGGCAGGCGCCTGTAGTCCCAGCTACTTGGGAGGCTGAGGCGGGAGAATTGCTTGAACCCAAGAGGCGGAGGTTGCAGTGAGCCGAGATTGGACTACTGCACTCCAGCCTGGGCGACACAGGGAGGTTCTGTCTCAACAAACAAACAAACAACAACAACAACAAAAAAAAAGCTCCCAAATTCCCAGTGATACTCCTTTGCCCTAGACACCCAGATGCCTCCAGATCTCTTCATGACCAAGCAGTAACTAAAGGGATAAAACATAGCATGGCAGCATTCTCCAGGATTCTGTTCCAGTTGAGGCTTCTGTTCTGATTAGTTGGTTCCTGCACCAAATAGCAAACATTTTAAGCACTTCCCTGGCTGTCTGGACATTATGATTTTCTATCACTCATTTGCCCTGCTTCATTGTATGTTATATACATTTATCTGTGGGAAAGAAGAAAGGATTTTATATAAATTAGACTTTCATATAGACTTTATTAAAAAAGATGAATTTTATTTTTTTTCTCATCTGATAATAGACATTTTTTTACTTGCTGAACCCAGTTACATTGGAAATACCTTTGTTGTCAGCAGCAATGAAACCAAGGATGTTTTCATGTCGTAGCATGACCGTCTGGTAAATTTCTGCCTCACGAAACCAAGATCTTTCATCTCTGGAGGAGAATATTTTCACAGCCACGTCTTCCCCACACCATCTTCCATGCCACACCTCACCAAATCTACCTTTTCCTACTATTTCCTGAAGTACAATCGTCCTTGCAATTGTCCTTTGAACCAACAGAGGTAGACCTAACCAAAGAAAAGAGAGAATTGATTATTAAACACAAATACCAGAAAATAACTCTCATAATTATCACTGGTTTTAGATAAAAAAGCAAACATTTAAATTCTTTAATGATTTTATCTATTTTGAAAAAATAAGTACCATTATAGCAAACTTATTTAATGTCAAAGCATGCTGAAAAAATACTTGAAATTATGAATATGAATTTGTCTTCTCATATTCACAAGTAAACATTTTTTAAACATATCCTGCTGCTGCAGATATCTGATTTCCAAGAATTGCTGCAAATCTCCTTCATTTGTCCATCAAAGTCAGTCAGGTTACTAAGTACACAAGAGTAAAAGCAAAAAAAAAAAAAAAAAAAAAAAAAAAAAAAAAACCGTGTTAGCCTCTAAAATAAAATGTATGGTTCCTGGTACAACTGGAAGAGCAAAATAATTCTTTGTGAATTTTTTCAAAACCCAGCTAAAATTGGAAAGTGAAGAATCAAATGCAATGATCAAGTGAGATAATGATATTGCACTAAAAGCAAGATATAGTCAAAGAAGATAATCAAATGAAAATTTTCTGTGGAACAAAAAAACTTTTCAAAGAAAATATATCCAGAGTGTATGTATAATGCTTATATTCTTTGAACTCCTAACTCTTCCTCTAGAATTCTGTTGCAAATACGTAATGCGAAATGTAGAAAAATTTATGTCAAGATGTTTTAATACCTCATTATTAGTAACAGGAAAAAATAAGGAAAAGTGTCAGGTAATGGAATAATTGTGAAATAAAGTGCAGAGATTAAGAGCACAGATAAGAAAGACATGCGTTCAAATTTCAGCTCTGCCACCTGGTTGGTAATCATGGGCAAGCTGTTTCACCTGTCTGAGCTTTAGCTCCTTCATCTGAAAAACTGGGAACAATAAATATTATCCATATCATAGAGATGATATGAGAATTAATAAGCAAATTAAGCATCTAGCACTGTATCTAGCATATTACATGCACATATTACATATTACATGGCTTACTTAGAGCCAATAATAATTATGATGCTTATGAAAAGGTATTTAATAACATAAAAAATACTTTTGCTATACTATTGAATGAAAACAGCACAGTACATTTTATTCTTATAAATAAGTGTACCTAGCTATTCAAAATATGCACAGAAAATAAGACTGAAAAGGAAATATGCTAAACGTTATGATGGTCATTTAGTGAAACTGGGTGAGTTATGATAGTCTTCTTTCTAATTTTCTACATTTTCTTAATTTCCACAATAGATATTTATTACTCTTCAGATCAAAGGAAAAATAGTTAAAGAGGATACAGCCTACATTTATTCTGAAAAGTCACATTTAGTTATTGTTGTTGTACTTAGACAGCTAGGGAACCCTCATAGCAATGAGCCCATAGCTCGTGAGAACTTTGGTCCACGCACCTAAAATGAGTCACTGTTCATTCATATGTTCCCACATGAACATATAAGCACAAGCTAAATAAGAGCAGACTATAAATCTGCTGTTATGGATCTCAACAATTAGTCACAAAACCCTACAGGCAGAAAGGGAGGGGGAAAAGGGGAAAGGGAGGAAAGGAGGGAGAGAAGGCAGTCTTCTAGCCAATAATTTAATTTGGATTCCAGTTTTTAAAACTTTGCAGTTTGGGGGTTTTCTTACTACTATTCTTCCTTTGAAAGACGCTACCTAATGTATACAGTGAGGGTGTAAACATTTAGACTTCATCAGTGGGAGGGCAGGTGATTTTGTCCCAGAAGGAGCAAACTATCTGGGTTCGATTATGCTTTTCTTTTCTGATGAATCCAAAGCTGCTTCCTGCTAACTACGGATGCACATAGAGACGTTATCACCCCTCTGTTGCCTACATCTGTTAATTGTGCCTGCTTGGATTTTCCTGAAAGACATTGGCAAGGGAGTTCTTCAAAACGTTGGGCTATAACATGGGGAGAAATGATAGATACAGGTGAGGGGAAGGAAGGCAGCAAACCACACTGCCATGTGTGTACCTATGCAACAATCTTGCATGTTCTTCACATGTACCACCAAACCTAAAACGCAAAAAAAAAAAAAAAAAAAGTTGGGCTATATAATGATTCTTCCAAAACAAGAAGAAATGCAGGGGCTTCTGAAGTGGCTCACCTATGGTCACTCTTGTTCATATTTCTGTAAACCACAAGCTGGGAGGATTTGTGGATACATATATGAAAGTAGGGAATCCCCTACCATTTTAGGAAGTTTGTTACTCTGGGGAAAAACTGCCCCACCCACACCACCACCCACTCACCCCACCTCATGTCAAAAAAAAAAAAAAAACCCTTCAAATGCATTGTGTTGTGAGAAAGGCTCATTTAGGCTATAATACTATAATACAGGCTGGTACTCTGAATGCTTTACCAGGGGTTCTGGAGTTCCATTAAAGAGGAAGAGAGTTATTAACGTCATGTCACCATAACCAGCAAAAGCTAGCACAGCAATGCTGAGCTGCTCTCTTTAATCTTCTGTTTCTTTGCTTTAAGAACAGATGAGTTCCCTGTTAACTTCACATACATCCCAGGGGGTATCTACAGATTCTGAAAATCTTTATAACCATAAGCAAAATTGATCAAAGAACACACTTTGTATAACCATCTTTCCCTCAGAACTCAACACCTTAAATACTAGAACCCTAACATTTTTGTGTCCATAAAACATTACCAAGAAAGCAATAGTGATCGTTAGTAATCATAACAGAGGGAGGGAGGGAGGAGAGAAGGGAAACTGCTTTCTTACTTCAGAAATAAATTCTGAAGGAAAGTGAACATAAGAATCTGAACACCTAAAGCTACAAAAAGCAACTTGAGAAGACTTAATTCTATAGGCCACAATGGTTTTTCTCTTCATCAAATACTAAAAGGAGTTCCTATACCAGAGCTCACCATGTATCCTTTCAAGATGAAATGCATAATATCATTATTATATCATTTATTAAAATATCATTTTGGGCCATTTTGGTTAAAATGTTTTTATTTTAAATAAAGAGTTGTCTTATGAAAAAATGGACAACGGTCACATACCAGAGCCAGAGCCAGAGGCAGTCACATCATAAATCAGATCTTTTAGGGTTTTTCCAGCATTTACCAGGTTGCACTCAGAAAATGGTTCCTCCACATTCGGTCTCTTTTTCTTCCTGTAGGAGCACTGTCGACCCTGGCATGCCCATATTGTCAGCATCACAGCTATGGACAGGAGGCAAACAGGCACAGTAATAATGATGGCCAGCTCCATGGGTCCAAGTTTTGGGGCATTTGGTGATGCTACAGTTTAAAGAAGAAAAAACATGATCATAAATCAACACATTTTAAGTATTTTTGGAATTGGAATCACCAAAATTTCACATCCAGAATATGCACCTACACAGTATGCACTTATATTCATTGATAAAGAGTCTCTGTGGTATCAGCAAAGATGGAGAAAGGAAAATGATATTAGGCTGCAGCTAGGAATGGTTATGGCACGTGACAATTAGCAATATGATTAGGATAATGGAAACTAGCACATGGGATCTGTTTTTAGGATCTCTGAAGCATTTGACTCTTTTCTGTCTACTATTTTCCCTCCATTATTCAGCAGGACATTTTATTAATTATTATTATTATTATTTTGAGATGGAGTCTCACTCTATCACCCAGGGCTGGAGTGCAGTGGGGCGATCTGGGCTCACTGCAACTACCACCTCCCAGGTTCAGGCAATTCTCCTGCCTCAGCCTCCTGAGTAACTGGGACTACAGGTGCCTGCCACCATGCCCGGCTAATTTTTGTATTTTTCTATAGACAGGGTTTCACAATGTTGGCCAGGATAGCCTCGAACTCCTGACCTCAGGTGACCCACCCACCTCGGCCTCCCAAAGTGCTGGGATTACAGGTGTAAGCCACCATTCCTAACCATTGCAGTCAACTTTTAATGCAGGTACATTGATTCTTTCATGCCAAAATAATTATTGGGCTCTTGCAATGTGTTGTCGCTATTCCAGGTGCTGGAGATACAATGGTGAGGAAAGAGCCCAAATCCCTGTTCTTGAATCATATATGTTCTCATACATCTATGACACAGATGTTTAACACAAAAGCAAGAAATAATAGCACTATGAAAAAAAAAGAAGCAAAGAAGAGAGAGGGAGTGATGGTGGGATGAAAAGGATTAAGAAAAGGACTGTGAATTTTATTCTAAGAAGTTGTTTCAGGGTTTCGGTAGGACAGAAATATGATCTAACTTTTATTCTAAGTGGCCACTGTGTGAATAGACACTAGAGAAGCAAGAATAAAAGTGAACAGGCCAATTAGAAACCTAAAGCAAGAAGCCAGTTGGGAGACCAGGATGTTGAGTGACAACCTTACCTAAAATAGCACTTATTTCCCTGTTCACTCTCTAGACCCTTGTCCTGCTTGATTTTAATTCCTAGCTCTAATCGCCACTTGACACATATACTCATTTATTTATTGCCCAATTCCCTCCAGAGGTCACGAGCTTCGGGAGAGGAAGAAGTTTGCCTGCGTTGTTCCCAGCCATATGTCCAGTGTTTACAATGATGCCTGACACATAGTAGATGATCAGCAAATAGTTCTTAAATGACAGAATTACTAAAAGTTCTACTAGTGGTATTCCCATAAGAGACAAGACTTTTCATTTTAGAAAAAATAAATGTGATCATTGAAACCAAGTAACATAAGGATATAATTAAATTTGTGATTCTAATTTTAAAAACACATGAAGCCAATTTTTTTGCTTAAACTTCATCTTGCATTTAAGAAATCTTTTTTTAATTTAGAAAAAAAGTGATACATGAAAAATCTATGATGACAGATAATTTCCTGTGTGTTTGAAAGAAGTTATTTTGACACTTGAAACTGACACATTGTTCATTTCCTTTTCATTGACTAAAGATAGCCTCTGCATCAATCCATTCCATCCCCTTGTCCTACTACTACAGTGTTTTGTTTTTAATAAATCTTAGAGTGTATTTGATAGAATATGGGAGCAGAATTGAGGAGACTTAGGTTCTCAAACATCAAGGAGAAGGAGAGAAATCCAGGTTCGAGAGAGAGAGAGAAACCCAGCTTCACCTCTGGGCTACCATCTTCTTGCTGTGAACCTTTGGCAAACTGCCTCCCCAGCTGATTCTCCATCGGCCAGAAAAACGATGGGAGGTCATGCTTGGAAAGCAATAGCTGGACACCTGCACCTTAGTATCTCAACAAATGGCAATGATAATGGCCTTGATAGTTTTGCCATTCGCCAGATGTCCTCCTTTGCACTAGCAATGCTAGAGAGCACAATACATTAGATGTTCTTGCATTTTACCTACAATGTGTCAAAAAATGCATGACTATCATTTGAAAACAAATATTATTTAATTCTGAAGGAAAAAAGAATCAAATTCCTCACAAATGTGTTTTTAGAGATTTCACCATAATGCCAAAGATAGTAGTCTATCTACTATCAGTAAGTAAAAGATTTAAAATTGTTAAGTGAACTTCAGAAATGAACATAATCCATGCTGTTCTGCTACTTTTCACTGATTACCAGCTTTTCTTCTCCTGAGTGTTTCAGAATTCCTCTGAAATTATTAGTAGTTGTACAGGTGCATATGAGGAGAAGTTGGCCTAGAATGAGTGTTCTTAGAATAGGTATTAAAAGAATTCTCTGACTTGGCTTTGCTTTAGTAATCATCAGCCATGTTACTTCCAACCTCTAAAGTTTGCTGCTAAAAAATGATTTTATTGTGTATTTCCCAATGATCTTCCAAACTGTCTCTATATTTTTATGTCTGCACAAAGGTATTCCAATTTTTTTAAAAAGCCACAGAATGCATTTAATCTCCTGTATCTTACATAAACATCTATTTAAATGTGGTTTTAAATATACAATTCCACTGTTGAATACATTTACATGACTAAATTTTATTTTGATATGTTATTAGAAACTATCTATATAAATAACAGCATTAAGAAGCTTATTGATCATCTTCATTTTTGTAAAGCTCTATTAAGCAGAGCTCAGATCATCACTATAGCAACTAATTAAGAAGCAAAAGGTCAGCAACACTGAAAAGAGAATAATCTCCATGAAAGTGCACTGCTTTAGTGATGGCTGTGACTCTCAGAGATGTTTATTACAGATGAGCAATATTTCTACTTTTGTGAACAAATTTACCAATATGAGTTAGTAAGGAAAAAAGATTACTCAGCTACAAAAAGTCTAGCAACACCATTCAGTAAGAACTCCTTAAACACTGAGGAATTTTAAAAGCAAACATTTGTGAAACTATGCTTTAAACCAAATGTTGATGATAATCACTAGAGGGGATAAATGAAGAAAAACTGTAGTCTACATCCAGCAAATCATGGTACAAGAAGACAATCATGCAGCTAAGAATACATTTCAATAATAGTTAACTTTGATGAACATATTAATTTTTCTAGCAGGTTTTACATTCTTGATCACAGGAAAACTCATTATTTGATAGGTCACAATTTAGGGGATCTTCTGTGCCAAGTGAGATGCATACTCCATGGAATTAGCAGCTCCATGCGGGGACCTATTAAATCCCAAAAGTGAGGTGGGAGGAGTGCCGCATTGTTAATTCAAGTGATCTCCCTCCTTAGAAAATTAGATCGAAGAGGATAAGGAAAATGAGAGAAAAGGACTAACCCAGAAAGGTGAGGGCCTAGCTGACAAATTTTCCCCCAAATGAGCCCTACAATATGTTAAACTGAGAAAATGCCAGGGAAGGAAGCATTAACAAGATAGCAAGAAGAGAAGGGGGAAGGGAGAGAAGGAGAAGAAAGGAAGCAAGAGGAAAGAAAGGAAGGAGGGAAACAAGGAGGCAGGGAGGAAAGGAAGAAAAAGAGGTAGGGAAGGAGGAGAAAGGGAGAGAAGGAGGGAGGATAGGAAAGAAAGAAAGGGAGGGAGGGAGGGAGGGAGGAAGGGAGGAAGGAAGGGAGGAAGGGAGGCAAGCAAGGAAGGGAATTTTAATGTATCTTTGTAAGTTTTTCAACTCTCCCTGGAGATCTGTGTGGAACTGGTGATTGTGAAAGTCACTGGTGATTGCCACTCCCCAAGTGAAGATTTAGTTTAGATCCATCAGTTTCTCCCAAAACAGTTTACTATTCCCACTGCCTCCTCGCTACTTCCTATTTCTTACTTTAAGGAGAACCTCAAGATGAAAAGAAAAAGATAAGACAATGCAGGCATGATCCCCACATTTTCTTCCCTGCTCCTTCTTTATTAAAAATATGAAAAAGTATTGATGTTCATGAGATTTACATGACCTTCAAATTAATTTACATTTCCTTACCATATACTATAAGAAGGAGATGGCTGTGTGAACCTGAAGAAGTCAGTTTCTCAAGATGAATCTTGAATTGCAAACTGGGCCTAAATTTAAAATAGAGCCAAGTGGCCATTTGCTAACTAGAGACTACACATATACTGTGAGTTCCCAGAAAAGCCATACATCTGCTTAACTTTGGAACTTTCATAACTAACTGTTCTTGCCCATGTTACCTGAATCAAACAAGAGGCTGTGGCCTGCATCAACCAATCAGAACTAAGCAAGTTTTCACAAGAGGACCTGACTGAAAACCTAAATGGGAACTTCCTCTATAAAAGCCAAACAAACCCGGCATTTGTTCTCTTCAGTTTAAGCTGAGGACTGTTTCTTCCCAGTTTGCAAACTGTTTACCAGAATAAAATCTCTTTCCTCTAAATTCCTTCTCAGAACTTTTGTTCACACTTAGAAGTGGACGTATGTACTTGATCAATTGCCTCAAATAATTCATATTGACTACTGGCATTGAAATCTTCTAGTACAATACCTACATTTCAATTTACAGACACGGTTCCCCACTATATTTAAATGGCAATCAGCTGACTATGAACAAAGGCATTACAATGGAGTGATATATTAGAAACCCTCTGAGAATAGAGGGAGTGAAGAGATATTTCCCGCTGGAAAATTATTTAGAAACAAATTCAGGGGTGAAATAAAACAGAGAACTTCATCCAATCAAAGTACATTCTTGTAAAACTTTTCAAGGTTAGTGCTTCCATCCCAAAAGTCACTGTAGTTTTGCATTAAACCCACTCTGCATCCTATTATTAATAGTTTTTGCTGAGTAAAAAGATATCAGTTTGCAAGGTTCAATTCATGAAGATATAACTATTAATATCAAGTCTTCAACTGCTCTCTCACTCCCCTTAACCCATAAAAAAGAAAGCATTTCTTCCTCCAGCTTGTGGGCTTTGAAATGTTCT